TTTTGGTTTAACATATAATTTTTTGTGTTACTTTTTTTGAATTTAAAGTTCTATCGGGCTTAAAAAAACACCCGTTAGTAGTTTATTAGTATATTTTGCGACGAGTACGCTGTACAAAATAACACTATACATATTGATTTTATTGATTCATTCGACGCTATCTATCAAATAAAATCATAAATAAACATAAAAACTACAGAAATTTATACTTTATGTTACTATTGGATTTTAATATTAATAAAGATTTATAAATGTATAATGAATCATTTAATACCACCAATTTATCATCGAAAACGTATAATTTCAAACAAAACTTTAGTAATAGTATATTATTATTACTAGATTTTCTAGCAAAACTAAACCTAAATTTAGATTAATAAGATATAAATAGGAAATATCTCCTTACTTTAATAGAGCGTATCGATAGAAATGATTGAAGAAACACGAACGTTATCTTTCGCAAAGTTTTTGTTAAAATCAGTTAATTTATGGCCAAAAAACGATAATAAACTCAAGTACCCATCATTTTTCTTAATTTTTTTCATCTTTTTATATGTAGAATTCGCACAAATTGTATTTGTGATTAAAAATTCTAATAACATATTTAAATTAACGAATGTTTTATCACAAATTTCTGTAACGTTGCAGGTAAGATATCTATTATGATTTCTTTATAAAATAACATTACTAATTTTTTAGGCTTTATCGAAAATACTCGTTTTATTTATCCATTCAAAAACATTAAACAAAATTATCACAAAAATTTTTTACACGTTTTGGTCAACAAACTTTATCGATGAAAAACTTGAAAACAAAATTAAATTTACTACAAATGTCTATTATTATTATTCAATATTAACTTACGCAAGTGGAATTATTTTTTCTTTGGCATTATTTGCAACGCCGTATCTTTCGGGATTAAGAGAACTTCCATATAAACTTTGGTATCCATTCGATTCAACCGTAACACCAGTGTATGAAATTTTGTACGGTTTACATGGATTTATTAATTTATATTTGGTTTTAAATACAATTTGCGGTTACGATTTTTTATATTTTGGGATGTGTTTAAATTTAATCGTTCAGTATCAAATAGGAGGTGAAATTTTAAAGAATGTAGGAAAAAATTATGGTTTAATCGAATTAACATTGAAAGGAAATGATGGAAAGAAAATCAAAATTGAAAGAAGTGAAGATGCAAAATTATTGTCAATATGTATAAATCAACATAAAGAACTTATTTGGTAAGAATTTTTTATTATTTCGTAGTATCCTTCATTTTATTAGAGTTAATTTTTGAGTCCCTTTCCACTCGCTTTTTCTTCCTTTCACTGTTTCCAGTCGACATCTTTTTCTTCATAAACCATTGATTCATCAACTATTTTTATTTTCTAAATCTTGGGCTCAATTTAACCCGAAAAAAACTATCGTGATACGCAGGTGATGAAGAATGGATGGATCGAGTAGCTCAGGAATCATCATTGCCGGTCCCAAACCCGGATAAAGGAGGAGAGTTGGGCTATGGGCTATAAAACCTATTGCCTCAAAATCTAATTGTTCCGAAACCTACAAGCAAGCCTCGAATTTGACGGTTTTATTGACTACGACTCAGGCGAACGATAATGGATCATGAAATTGGAACATGAACGTGACGATACTGAATAAACCAGGGGCGGAAATAGGCCTTCTGTTTAGACCAGATGTCTGGGTGAAGTTATTAAGAACACAACAGTGGACAACAAAATAAAATGGAACATACTGAATTTACAACCCATAAGTAAAAAACTGTGCAAATTAAGACTATGTACAAGGTTTTGCAATGTAACAATTAACATTCGTTCTGATATACAAAATGTTAATTGTGATACTTTAAATTGTTTTGTTGATAAGGTTAGCGAATTCTCAAAAGATTTCAGATGTTTTCGCATTCTATGTATGAATATTAGAAGTGTAACAGCTCATTTCGACGAATTGGAATGTTTCATTGATTCTATTAATTTTGATATAAATGTCATAGTATTGACTGAGACGTGGCGACTGGCGCAGATGAGTGATGCCACATTACTTAACTATGAAACTTACTATAATTTTAGTAGCATAAATAAGAATGANTGAAAAAAGTGAAGATGCTAAATTATTGTCAATATGTATAAGTCAACATAAAGAACTTATTTGGTAAGAATTTTTTATTATTTCGTAGTTTACTATTTTTTTATTGGATTCCTCATTTTATTAGAGTTCATTTTTGAGTCCCTTTCCACTCGCTTTCACTGTTTTCATCAACTATTTTTATTTTCTAAATCTTGGGCTCAACTTAACCCGAAAAAAACCTATCGTTATACGCAGGTGATGAGGAATGGATGGATCGAGTAACTCAGGAATCATCATTACCAATCCCTAACCCGGATAAAGGAGGAGGGTTGAACTATGGGTAATCAACCCATTGTCTTAAAATTTAATTGTTCCGAAACCTACAACCAAGCCTCGGATTTGACGGTCTTATCGACTATGACTGAGGCGAACGAAAATGAATCATGAGATTGGAACATAAACGTGGCGCAAATAGGCCTGATCTGATTTAAGCAGATCAGATGTCTGGGCAAAGTTATCAAGAACACAACAGTGGATAACATAAAATCGACCGATACGATCCCTAGAAATGATATTAAAATACTACTTGGGGACATGAATGCAAAGATTGGCAAACAGTGAGACTAATGAAAACGGCGAATTTGTGATTAGATTTGCTGCAGGATGGAATACTATCAGCTCAACATGCTTCCCACGTCGGAATTTACATAAAGTGTCATGGATCTCACCAGACGCTATCACCAAGAATCCAATAGATCATGTGTTAATTGATAAATGTTAATTTGCCTCAAGTATCGTAGCCATGAAATCAAGAAGAGGAGCCTATTGCGGATCGAACTATGTATGTAGAGAGAGGGGTGCGTAATTTTTTACGCGCACTTAGGCCCCAGCGGGCCCCTTGTGCATACTCCCTTGGAGGCTCGAGATGGTAGAGAAGATCTCGTTAGATGACGATACCGCTTACTCGTTTCCAATGACGAGTTACCGTCGCCCCGACCCCGAGGGCGCTCACGCGCATTCGTCCCTATAAGTCGAGCCTCACACACATGCGTGCTAACGACAACCAGAGATGTTAGACTGGTTGCCGGGACCGACGGCTTAACGTCCCCTCCGAAGGACGGGGGGCGACTCAACGTGAATTCACCGGGGTTCGAACCCGGGACGTCTGCGTGTTAACCCGAGAGCTAACACGCTGAGCCATCACGCCCCCGCGGATCGAACTATCTTTAGGTCAAAGAATCTATCAAGTCCGAAATCTTTATAGGATCACCTGACAGTTTCAGTATTTGAGTGTATAGTTCTCCTTCCAGATCTACTGATTTAGATATGATGTGAGGGGCAGGTGATTTTTTAAACTATCAATGTGGATTGTGATTTGAAGGGAACTTCCTTTTTGCTAGGTGTTGCAGGATTTTCGGGGATATTAGTGTTTGTAAGTTGTGGTTTAGGTTTTGCAGAAGCCATTTCGATGTCGTTGGGGAGGATAGAATACTTGTTAGAAGTAAGAAGTACTGCGTGGGTGGTTTCAACAATAGAACTTACAGAGTTTTTATAGGAAAAAGTTTTTTGGGAATCATGATTTATGATGACGGTTACTAGGTCCTCGAGCGTTTATGAATTTACTTTGTTTTCTTTACTTTATTTTCTTTCTACAACGTCACAATACAGTTTGAAAAATTTTTTAACTGATTCTATGAAATCCATCGAAATTTGGCATTGGTTAACCAATGATTATAATTGAAGCTCTAATATAAGGCGTTTCGGTATGAGAACTTAAATTGAAATTCATTATGTTGCAAAAGATGATTCTTATTCAATTTTTCTTATTCTTATTTTCCTTGTTTAGGTAGTTTATGTCAGCCTGTTGTTTGTTTGGCTGGTTATTTGGTAATTGGCCAATTTGAAGTTCCTACCAGAGACCTGCAGCGAATGGCTCACTAGTGAATCGTATTCGTTGCATGAGTGTTGCCTTCATTCGTCAATAGTTACTGTGGATCATGTTGTGTTGTGTTCTTTCTTAAGTTACTGTATTGTCGATTCCGAGACCTGCAACGAATGGTTCACATGTCGAATCATATTAATCGATTCACTGTTACTATGTTTTTTTAATTCGTGAACAGAACCGTGTTCAAAACTAGGTTTAAAACAAGTTTAGACAAATTTTGGGCTTATAAATAATTTTGAACAAGTACAGGGTGTCCCGTTAAGCGTATAGAGCGGCTGTATCTCGACAACGGTAAGGCCTAGAGGTTTGGGAAAAAAATCCTTATAAGCAAAGTGACCAAGAGAAATAGCTGGAAATTATTTTGAAGTTCGTAATTCGACCGCTAGGGGGCGTAACTACCATTGAGAAACATAAAGTTGCCGCTATCTCAGAAACTTAGACGATGAGCTATAACTTTGACAACATCATTTAATAGCTTGGATAATACCGCATCGCTTTTGTTTTGCGATATTTCTCATATCTGTCATAATAAGGGAGGGGGAGGCCAATGCGTTTTCATATGTTTACATTTTAATATCTCCTAGACCATTCAACCGATTTGAATGTTTTCGGTGTTGTTTGAAAGAGCATTTTATGCTCTTTTTAAAGATATTTTCAGTAAGGCCGTCTGCTTTAAAACAAATGAGCTAGAGGACGTTATCTGCAGCGATTACATATTTTTGTGATTTTTGAAGAAAAGTTAAATGGAACGATACTATTTACTTCACAGACCCTTAGTCACCTTAAAATTTGCTAAATTTTAGTGAAAACCGCATCTCGATATCGCCACCCGTTCTCGA